TACGGGAAGTGTATTAGTGCACATTGCATTTATACCGACATGGGCAAAACTAGTGCTCGAACTCCAGTGCTCGAACGATTAACCATTCAGGAACTTCGCTTTGTGTGCGCATACCTCGATTTTCGCAGGAATTTCAATTTATTATCACCTCCTTTGTTTCGTTCTTTATAATAATGACATCACTTCAATGTTATGGAGTTATTTCGATGACACAATTATCGGCAATACCTTGACAAAGACATGATTTTTTTTAAGGAATATTTGCCCCTATCCGAAAATTCGTATATTACTATTTATTTTATTCTAATAGAGTATATATTTTGTACAATCCTTGTTAAAAAAACCGAATAAAAAATCTATTATTTCTTACTTTCTCTTTAATATTTGATTACATTATAGAAGCATCTAATAATAACATAACTAGCAACCACGTAAGATCATTAAATAATTAAAACTAATTGACTATATTATAATTCAATACAGTAAAAAACTAATTAACAACATTTTTTTTTTTCAAAAATATAAAATATACCATTATAAAATAGCACATTAGGTTAACAGCTCAATTATCGACAATGTTTGAAAATAATTAATGTAATTTTAAAAAGTGAAATAGACAAATGAAAACGCAGTTAGTTTTCCGTTTGACAAACGATCTACTGTCTTAGAAGTTTCTTTTTTTTATCACCAAACCATCCGAACAGATTCGAACCGGCACATCTGGTATATATGCAAACAGAGTCGTATCATTCAATACTTACATTTTCTCATAATCACTAAACATTACGCACAAAAACCGTTATTAAAACTGAATAAATATTTAATTACAGCCCGCGCGCGACGCCCCTGTGTTCGCTTATATACGATCATGAATAGCTCCGTAATAACAAGAGTAAGAAACCAACACGATATTATTTAGATCTCCTACAACAGGAAGTGGGACGCGTACAGGATAAAGATATGGGAAATCGAAAAGACAGATGGGAAATATGCGGTGTCTAATTAGCATATATGCTGTCTCATGTCGCCGGATAATTTCTGTATTTCGTCTAAAACATAATTCGCGTGTACGAATCATTCGGATTGATAGAATATTTCTGATGTACCTACTATTCGCCTTTGAATGTACGGTGGAACAATTCAAAGGAAACTGAATTCTTGAGAATAAAACGTAAGAGCGCACAAAAGGACTTTTTTGTGCGGTGCGTCAATAAGAAGAACAACGGTACACGAACAGGTGTTTGCCATAATTATTGAAAACCGAAATAGAAATTCTTCAAAGTGATAGTATAAACATTCACCGGAATAGGTAGGTACGTTAATTAGAGAATACGGTCGATAAAAAAACGAATCAAATCGAACAAACATTTTTTTTACATTAAACCAATCTTTTCTTAGCTTTTTTTTATCGAACAAATTTTCTTACTACATCCATATACCATAACATTACTACTTATTTTGATCGTTTTGAGCCATCAAAAGACCGTTAATATACAATAAATCGTCCAATAAATATTTTTTTACATTAATTTTCTTAGATGTTATTTTTTGCGACGATTTTATTCTAGTTTATTCGTCCGACTCGGCTCATAAAAGAGCCATATATTTTAGGAAAGGCACTCTGTTGAATAATAATTTTATTGCTTAATTTACGATTAATAATGTTAGATGGAACATTAACAGACAATAACAACAACCCTACGGGCGCGTATAGGCGAAAAGGAAACATCTATACCTACATAAATCGAAAATTTTAATGTTTAGGAGACTCGAGGAAATTTATTACATAAACCCTGGATTCATTTTTCTTCTATTATTATTAATTTGTATAATTTAACGCCCGCATTGTGTTCTATTTGAAATGTTTAGTTAACAATAGTGCTATAATGAATTTTTTCAAGAAAAATTACGCGATGTTCTTTCGAAAATTAAACATAATTCCGCCTGACAACCAAAATAAAAACAACAGAAGTTATTTTGCCAATTTTTAGCTGTGAACCTTGAAACACGTCGAAACACGTCGTCGACATATGTGAAAAATTACTTCATAACTATTCGTGATAAATGAACTAACTATCATATTTGGAACAAAAAAAATGATAGATTCAGGTTTAAAACACATGCGATTTAATATTAACAATAACGACGTTCAAATAGTAAGATTTTGTAATTGAATAATTTTTGAAGCGCGCAATCTCAGATGTACCTATACCTAAAAAAATATGTCTAACAATTCAATACGCGCAAAAAAATTTAATATAATTATACGAATTTGTCGGTCATACAGAGAGGTCAAGTTTTATTCGCAAGTTCAAAGAACTTTCGCATTATATTCATTCAGCAATACCAAACGAAAGTATATTTAAGTGTTCGGTTACTAGTTAGTTACTATGGAAACAATAGATGAATCAGGTTTTAGTTTGTTACTAAAATGTCATTCTCCTCGTAAAACAGTTTTTCCTTTCCGTTTTTTTTTTCGACGCAATTCGTAACATAATATTTCGTTTACTAGTGTGTATAGAGGTGTGCTTTGTTTCCAAACATAATTAAATAAATTCTATTATTCACTTATTCGAATTATTTAATTGGTTAACAGATATTCAGAATTATTTTGGTCAATTTGGAAAATTTTTAGCTAACTTCAGGGCGAATTTACCATAAACATATTCGAAATTTTTTTAATACCGTTACTAATTTTCGTCGTTGATTAAATTATTTACTCATTCGTTATATTAAATATTTATTCAACGAAATAACAATATTGTAAGCGTCAACATATGTAATTAACAATAAACAACTCAATTTTTCCTAAAAAAAAATTCGTTACCTCGGGTCGATCACCTTGTTTTTGATTATTTTTATTTTAATTTGCATTAATTTTCATTACGTTCCTTTAACGATATTTAATTGATACGACGGGTAATTGCTCGACGCTGCTATATAATTATTTATATTTATATTCACAAAACGGATAAAAGTAGGCAAATATGCAAACATTAAAAACCGATTATTATTTTTATGCGAGCGATATTCAGATGTAGAATTGCACATCAACCCCATAGTGATTAATAAATTAATTTCCATTTTCAATATCATTACCATGCATGCTCGTTCGCTATAAAAAAATACTTTCATTACTAACGCACGAAAACGTTTTCAGCACGATAAAATTGCCAACCATAACCGGTGTTCGTTCAAATTTGATCAAATTAATTTTGCATAAAGAAAGTTTTTTGACTCTTAGCTCATAATAATATCGTTTAATCAACGGAAAATTTTATTAATATAGTCTATTCGCGTTTTATACGTAATTTTGCGTTGGGTAATAAATTTCAGCCGTCGAATGCAAATAAGTTGCGCATGGACTATGCGGAGTTTGGCGATTTTTCTACACCTATTAAAATTTATTACATATCGTTTATATTTTCTTCTATTTGCGAACGGTAATCGTAACAGTACTTCCCATAAGACGCATTTAGCTGCAAGTTATCATCGATTAAATTACGTATACGTTGAATATGCGGGTTACCCTCATCTGTACGGTTGGCATTTTTGTTTTCAATGGGAATTCTTTATTCTCAAGGCAACGATCTTTCCGATTAGGAAGCAACGATTATTTTAATAAGTCCATCACTTGGAATAAAACCGAATAAAAAGTGCAATATTTTATTTTAAATTATCTTATAATAAATATAATTTGTTCAATAACATCAATTGGTGAGGATACTCACCTCAAACCGAAAAGATTAAGGCTTATTTGTAATGTTTACCTCGTCGAAAAATTGTAATTAAAAAGGATAAAAAAGGCACCATTAAACACAAAGTATTAATTACGTTGTTAAATCAGGTACTGATGCTAATTTATTTATGGCATCATGATAAAAATGACAATAACATTATACTGTGTAAGTAAACGGTAAAATTATAAATGGCAACAAACCCGTTTTACCATATATTTCACATGCTAATTGCCAAAGAAGTAGCCAAGAAATTACAAGTAACCGCTGCTAATATCGCAAAAATAACAGCGATTGAGCAACAATAGATGTACGACAACACAATAAATAATAAATATAGCCCATCGAGCGGCGGTCATTTTTCAAAGAACGCCAACAGGAAATACCGAATTGTCATTTACTGAATCAGAAAGTTTATAATGGCCATTCGACGGGAACAGAATTGCGTAAAAAATTTCGCAACCGAAACCGACGCAGCAACGTCGCAATGTTAGTGTGTCAATGTTACATCAAAATCGAACCTGAAGCGAAACTATTTTAATGGCCGACCAACTACGGCAAATAGACGAGTTATTGGTTTCGGTTTTTTTCCTTCAACAAATCAGTTTTTCAATGTTCGTACTTACAGAAATATAAAAATACTAGGTAATGTAGATAATGGAAAAAAGTACAAAATTATACAGTAACGCAAAGCTACTGCAATCCTATTATTACTGTCAGGATAAAGGTTGCTATAATGTACCTACTAAATATATTTTTGCTTACTTAATCTATATTAGCATATATATTTTTTGAGATGTTGGTAACGCTACAACAGTCATTTATGTTAGCCGCAATATTAATAATAGACCTATTTTCTTTGCTTCCATTTTATTTTTAAGCCATCACACGTTCGCTCGTATAATATTATCGACAATAGGCATTCGAGTTACGATTAAAATTTCCAACAAAAAGTCACACCGCACAGGCAAAGCCGTTTCACTCAGTTACAATTCTACAGGTAATAAGCAATCGGCTTTACTGTAATACATACCTACATGGACGTAAGAAATAACACCAGAGAAACTAAGAATTTTAGAAGTACCTAATAAAAAAAGGTCTCACTCGCTACGCGAGCTCGACTTGTGCTGCTGCTCCTCTTGCTTGCTGCGCGAGCTCGATTTTTATGGAATTAAATCCGAAATGGAGTGATAGCAACGTGTAGGTACTTCAGCTTATACCGCTACATCTAAACGTTTAGAATGTCATTTTCTGTGCAATTATCGCCGTTTCGCAGAAGTAGGACATCCGTTGGATTGTGTATGCTCATAAAAGTTTGCATTTTGCGCATTCGTGTCGAGTATGACACCACGTTTCTCGCCAAGATCACAATAATATTAGCATTTATCGAAAAATCATATCAACCTTTCGGTGTTTTTGTACGGGATTTTCGAGATGGAATATTGTTATTAGAGAATAACATCTTCGGGGCGTGTACGGAATTATTTCGATTCGAGTTTTTACCGGCTTGTTACAAGGTGAATAGGTTAGTATTTTGTTGTGGTGTTTTGCATTTCGAAAAGTGATTAACAATTTATCTATGTTCAGCGAAGCAACGGCGATCGTTATACAAAAAGAATGGCAATCTACATACATCATCCGAGTTGAATCACCATAGGAGAATCGTTCTAAACGTAACGATGATTGAACATTTCGTTTTCTTAACGGCGGGGTTTATTGAACTAATATTACAGGCGTTTCGTTAATTTACATCACGTCAAATGAATGTTTTTCAACAATTACGAGCACTGATTTTTCTCTTCCCTCCACAATGAACTTAATTTCCATTACCTATCACTAACGAACAATATCAATAGTGAATCACATGACCTGAATTCGCGATAACTCTTTAATATTTATCTTTATTCATTCTTTTTTTTATTACCTGCTTATTACCATTTCCTAAAATATTAAATGCTCGTCTTGACCTATATGCGATTATCGCTCAAAGTCATTAAAATTGTATTTTTTTTGTTCTTGATAAAAAAATAACGGTCCCACTATCTGACAAAGTGCTAATTTGTTCAATAAACAAAGAACTTCGTTAGTTGGCTTTGTCGTATTTGCCAATTAATTAACCTTTAGGCCGCAATGGTCATAACTTTGTGCTGAAACTCGCAAATATTGTAATATTATCAAGACACTTAATACAATATCTTAAAATCCTGTAAAATTTGAATAACTAAATTTTATTCTTTGAATAATAAAAGAATAAATCTATGAAATGTTCTCAATGAGAGTTTTAATAAAAATTCCACGTATTAAATAAAACAACACAGTCAATGTAAATGAAATTGACAACAGATCGATAACGCCATCTCCATCGTCATTCATAGAGGTTCCGCCGCCATTCACCGGAGCCGGCGGAAAATTATTTCGATAAAATTGTCGTTTTACGGCCGTCAGCGGCACATGTTCCGCCAATAAAATTCCCCCGTGTACGTTATTTTCGCCCGTACGTAACGAAATTATCCAATAAAAGCCGATGCAAATCCGACACATCGACATCGAGTTTGTTAAATAAAAAAACAGTTACTTTTACTTTATCGAAAAGTCGGACTGCACAGTAGTTTAGTTATTGAGCGGTGACGTCACGTTCGCTGACGCTTTCGTGTATGCTTCAGTAGCAGCATTGGGCCGGTTCAGTAATCGGTCCTGCCGAAGGAAATTACAGCGTTGCCGATTGCGACACGGCAAGACGAATTTAGAAATGATAGACCTTACCCGATAACCGTGGAAAACCGTCTAGTTCGCATCGCATTTGACTTACCTGAAAAGAAGGAGAAAATTAGTGTCGAAGAAAAAGAAAGTAATTTGGAAATGCGTCGGAAAACGAATGTACATCGTATCCGGCGGAAAAAGAATTAAAATAAAACGGCGATTACCGACTGGAAAAGTGACTAATAATCGACACGACGTTCCGTTATGTGTTATTCTAGGATCGAGTCGAATCGCTTTGACTATACGCATTGTATGTTGATGACTATCTTTTGCGGGAACGTAGGTTGAAATAAGTCAAAATGAACCAACGTAACATAATAGAAACGATTATTACATTCTAATTCGGTTTTGTTTATTATCGCATATTCAGCCGATATGTACGTCAGTCATATTATGCACGTACCTATACGAAGAATACACTGAAAAGTAGGTAAATAATATAAATAACAAAAAGCTTTTGCATTGTAAAATTCACAGAAACGTCACGCTTAAATATGTTTGCATAGCCGGCGGCAACGAAAAATGCTTTACAATAAATATTTATTTTAGCTATTTACTCAAGGATAATTTCTTTTGTGTCCCTTTTTATTTCGTATTTACCCGGAGCGCTCGATATAACACCCATTTGCACCGAAAGAACAAGAAACATATCGAAACAATTCCGATACATATTCGAGGAAAAATACTGCACGCATAATCGCGCAGAATCATCGATATGCATTAAATAATCGAAACTTTTTATATGCAACATCTAGGAAAAAAGTGCTGGGTACGGGTACCTACTGTTGCAGGAAATCGCATAGTTATAATACACCAGATAGCGTTTTCAGAACTGCAAATAAGCGGATTGTTGCGAAACGGAAAAAATCCAAAGTGTTGATATCGCGGAAGTTTTGCTTCCTTTCCGAAATCCGCGAATTTAACGTCAATAAACTGTGCACAAATAACTAATAATCAAACGTCTTCTATGATTTAATGTTAAATTGTGCAGATGGCGAAGACAAAAACAGCAAATTTTTCGTTAAAAAACAAACATGAATTCGCTAAATAAATCTCCAACATACAGAAAATATTTAAATTTAACATACAAAATGTGTATCCTTAATTACTAAATTTTAAAATCCTAGATTGTAGTAACAACAATGTAGATATTTGTTAAGGTGTTAAAATGATTGGCATATCGAGGATGGGAAAACACTGGAAGACTTCAGTAGTACAGGTATAATAGCACTTTTCAAACGAAATCGACTAGTTGAAATTAAAATTTATTGAGAGATAGGTTAAAATTGTAACATTTTATGATTTGAGATTATATTGAGATAATTTCTAAATAATAACTGTGCTAAAAACGGTAGAACTACATATTATTTTATAAACCAATATAAAATCACTTCGAAAACCAACCAAAGATTGGTTAAAAAAATTATAACAGTTTTAAAATGATTCAGATTCCCAATTTTATTGCGACTTAAAAAGCAACAAAAATCCATCCATTAATCACAATCAAATAGCCATAACTATGTATTACTAGTTTTTATGGCTACAATTAAAGTAATTTCTTACGGCGTACAGACGAAATAAAAATAGCCATCGGCGATTTTACGTCGTAGGTGATGATTAAAATCGCACCTCTTAAATCACACCGGCCCATTACCACCACCAAAATTAGGTTTACATAACGATTATTGTAATTGCCGATGAAATCATCGATTCCGAATTCTACTATAAACGGCAAGCGAATTTACACTAAAATTCGAACGCAACGTTTATATCGTTTTTATATGTAACTGTTTCCAAAATATCGATCGGTTAAATAAACTTTAATTAAAGGTAAGTGGAGAAAATTCAATTTTCATTTCAATGGCCTTCCTTCCAAGCGCTGGGAAAATTCGATTAATTCCAATGATAAATTAACGAAGATTTTTTTTATTCGATGGCCGAGTCCAATTATTTTTTCAATACGTATCGATTTCGGAGCGAATCGATTCCTACTGTTTCATCGAACGAAACGCACCTTGTACGCATTTACTTGCACACACACAAACGACCCATTTACCTACAACACACTTATAAATTTACAATCTTCAAGTGGCGCACAGTAGGCTTACTATACTTTAGATAACGGTTCCCAACTCACTATGCTAATGGTTAATGGCAAATTTGTTCACTTCTTCGTACGAATAGCCATACTTCTAGTTTCTATCGACGTTGCCACGTTACCTAATTTGGATATATTTATACAATCGTTTAGGAGCAGTAATTTAAATGTTTCATTTGTAATATATTCTTTGATATTTCATAAAATTTGTTTGATGATAGAACACGATTTTTCTCAAATTTTGTTTTACATAAATCTCTGAAGTTCGAACGAGTTGGCAACGTGGGGCAATTCGTACGCAATGCACGTAAGTAACGGCGTCACAGCGACTATTTATGACTGTTTAAAACCGTCTCTTGGGCATATCGGAAAATGCTCATACTCTTGACCATCTTCGCATTTACGTTCTAACGTTCTAAAATCTCCCCACAATAATCATTAATTCCTTTACACATTTTAAATTCACTAATTGATTGTATTGAAGATTTGTTTACCTTTTGGAATAACTAGGGTTAATGATTCTACGAGTACGTTCGTTTGTCCAACAATAAATTCTTCTGTTTATTGTTATTGACATTTGTCTTTGTGTTCTTGACGAGTTAGTGTTCTGAGTAATTGACACTTCTAAAGGGTTATTTAGGTTGTTCCGTGGTTCCGCTGGTTCCATTTTGATTTTGGTCTTTGAGGCAGACAGACTCGTGGTATTACATTTTTAGTAATCGGGAAACATCTCGGATTTTCTACGGTCTGTCTGAATATATTTAACTTCGTTAGTTGTTTGGAGCCTTGTGCTATTTGATTTGCCGTATATTTTTGGCGTTAACGTGAGTTAAATCCGTTATTCGGGATCTATATCCTCTTGACCAAATCAATCACGTTTCGATCCCCGACTTAGAACACTAGGGGTAAGTCTTGTCTTCCTTCCTGTTGCAATCGTTAATTGTGTGTTTCTTAGGATTAATTTTGATTACTACTATTACTTTGGGTTGAATTTTCCAATCCGTATTTTCTTGGATCTTCCGTGAGGTTATTTGTATTTAACTGTCTTCCGATTGGACTGGGACCGATTCCTGCGTCACTTTGACCGCCTGTAGTTGCGATAGTTGATTCGACAAAGTTCACCTGTTGTCCCGAGTATCTGGATTCTTATGTGATAACCAGACCGTCACCAGGAACCTTGGGAACTTCACCACGTGGGATCCGTCCGCCATTTTCGGAGAAGTTTTATTACAATTATTTATTTAAATTTAATTCATCGTAGTTCAATTTCTTTCATTTTTCTTATTGTTAAATTCATCTTCACGTATAGTATCAATTTTATTATCGTTAAATTTTAATTCAGTACGATAGTTAATTAATTTTCTTTTGTTAATAACGAAAATTCGACTCGCCTTTACCGTTTTGTAATTACTCTGTGAATTATAGATATTCCTTTGGATCTGGACCCCAACTGATCGATCAATTGGAGGATCCAGCTGTATCGCCATAGTATATTGACTTCGCAGAACTTCGTTTTACTTTGAACCATCCGGTTGACCGGATCACCATCGGTAAGTCGAATTTGATTTATACCGTGACTGCTATCTCGTACTGTTTGGAATTTCTTAATAATTATCTTTCTATTTCTTAATTTTCTCTCAATTTTTTTTTGTATTGTATTCTATTATTTCTTTCGCTATTGTATTAAATTAAATACCTATAGAGTTACGAAAAGTGTGTACTATCAATTCCTTGTTAAGTTGGGAGTTGATATAAGATTATATTGTTAAGGGCACTTGGTCAACTTAACTGGCGCCCGTTTTATATTTAAATATCATTTAATTTCGACTCACTCCCGTCTCATCTGAGTATAGCCGCGTGCCCGGATGTTCAAGTCATCCACCTAAGTAACAAAAATATATATTTACCGTTTTATTTTTGTAGTTTTATTAAAGGGGTAAAATTTTAAACGTTACATTTTGGCGCCCAACGTGGGGCGAAATGCGAAA